ATTATTAGTTGAAGGATTACACTACTTAAAAAATATGAGATGTCCACTAAGCTAGTTTAGATTAAACAAAACTAAATCTTTACTAGATACTCTAAGTCAGATTTAAAAGACAATATTATGCCCTCCTAGTAACTTGACATAGTACTTCTAAATCAACTAAAATTATTGCCAACAGTTTGTCACTATTGATTATTCTGAAAAATAATAAATTGCTAAAGTTGAAATTAAGAAAGAAGAAAAATGAAAAATAATTCAAAGCTCTCCAAAAGATTCTTTCTTTATTTTATAGCCTTTTCTTAAAAGGAGTTTGCCTGATTGAGATATTTTTTTTACTTTATTTGAACCTTGAAAGGAATCTTATTTATCACTATCTGTAATATCAGATAAGTCTTTATTTAAGTGTGCATCGAATTAGAATAGTTCAAGAGAAATTAAAAGATCTCAGCTTTCACTTCAGAAAGTCTTTTTACCATTTGAAGAACTTGAAGAAAGTATAGAATTTTTTTATATGGATCCATCCCACTTTTTAGTATTATAACTGTTTTCTGAAGTCGAATATATATAGTTGAAAGGAAACTTCTTCTAGAATTTTTTTTTTTATATCACCCATGATATAATAGGAATATATAATTGTAATTAATAAGAGCTTGTTTACTTTTTTTAAAATCAATATGTTTTGTATCAACCAATCACTTTTGATGAGAATTTGTTCTACCAAAAATTTAAGATCAAACTGAGATAGATAATATTTTTTAGAAAACTATGAAAGTGATAGTTCTAAGAGGCCCACAAGTAACTAGAAAGGAAAAAATAAACCCTTCTATCATCAAAAATCTTTATATACCTCTTGCTTCAAAGGTAAAAAAGACCTTTATATACTTCACTATTGGTTTTTTTTCCTTTGAGAACTTTCTTGCTGCTAGTATCAAAGGTATTATTTGACTTGTTTTTTATTATCAAAAGTTAAGTTTTTGATCAAAGAGGATTGTAACAAGTAAGGAAGAATAAAGGTGACTCTTGAAATCACTCTTCAAAGAGTTTTAAAAAAAATGTTTAAGATTTTTTAACAAAGAAACAAAAAAAAACTTCTTGTGAACATCTTTTTTATATATAGTTAGAGGATTAGTAGAAAAAGTTAATTTTTACTATTATATTAATTGTTTTTGTTTAATACTAGATTTGTAACTTTTGTTAAATTTTTGTTACAATATACAATTTTTTTTGCTAAATTTTTTGCTACAGTATCAATTTTTTGTTGAATTTTTTGTCACAGTATGCAAAAAATTTTTTGTTATAATATTATCAAATTTTCTATTAAATTTTTTTATCATAGTATATCAAAAAATTTTTACTAATTTTTGTTATATTTTTAATATTAAAAGCAGTAATTTAAAATAATTCATTAATATTTTTATTATTATATTTTATCAAATTTGATAATAATTTAACTACTAAATAACATAATTTTGACTAATAAATTGATATCATTAGATTTTTGTCAATAATTTCTCAAGATAACTGATATATTATTGTAATCATTAAATATCTTACTAAATGACTTGATACAAAAACTTTTATGAATACTAAAGCTATTATTATGAAAAATTCATATATGAAGATATTATATATCAATATGAATATTCTAAAATTCTTTTATCTAATCAAAAAACACTATTTATTAATAAATTAATAGATACTTTATATTAAATAATGATTATTTATCACCAACTTTTAGCTATTTACTATTCTCAAATCAATAGATCAATTAAATTATTTAATAAAACTCTTTACAATAATCTAATAAAATATATAAGTAATTATAATAATATATATAATACTTTTCTGAACTTGACACTATTTATCTATTGCTTTATTTAAAATTATACTATTAAGTATTCACTATTCAAATTATTTTATAGTCATAAGACAAGATTACTTGTTGATCTTCAGAATATTAAATATGAATTTAGTAATACTTTGGAACAATAATTATAGTGATATATTGAATTTATTATTAGTGATATTGATAATCTAAAATTTAGATTTGATTTTTTTTTTTGAAGTATCCATAGTTAGGTTAGATTGTGAGTTTATTAATTAATTGAAAATATAAATACATTTTTATTCAAGCAACATAATAAATACTATAGCTAAGCTTCTTTCATTCTATATAACTAACTTGTCATAAGTATAAAATCTCCAAGTTCAACCTTAAAAACAATATTTCACTTCACAGTGTCCAATATTTTTATCTTTACTTTATTATACTCATAAAGATAGAATTTTACAAATACTCATAATATATAATAAATATAAGAGTAGATATAAATAATATAACTATAAATATAAAATTATACTATAAAAAAGATATTCAATACTCTTTTAAATTTTCCTAGAACAATTTTAAAGAGTAATCTAGTAATTAAACTGTTATTATACTCTAACCTATGTTATATATTTTAAATACTTTAGTATGGTCAGTGAATTCCTTATCCTATCAAGGTTTTTCAATAGAAGGGTTATCAAAAATTCTTAATATTATTAGATATTTCATTGATATAATGTTTACTCTATTATCAACTTAAATATAGAAATAATGGAGATGGAGTCTTACCTTTCAGCCATCCCTAAAAGTTTCATCAATAAAGTTGACTTCTTCATATTATATATCTATCAGCAAGGATTTGTATTTATGATAGAAATCAAGATCATTGATTGTTTCATTAAAATTCATTTTTGAATAGCCCTTCAAGAATAAAGGAGATAGACTTTAAATAAGTCTTGAAACCTCGAATGGTTAGTCCAAAACTATTGGTAGTAAAAGTACAATTGTAAATACCAATCTTCCTTTCCTTAAATAGATAAATCTAATATTTGTCAGGTTTATTCCCTACTTGTATTATTAATTCATGTACTATTCATTTATCAAGCTTATTGCAATTGATCTTGAATATTTTTCTAAAAGGCTTTTAAGCCAGTATTTCAACAGAACTGGCCTTAGTTTTTTAATGGACTATCTTATATTTTTTTTCTTTACTTGGCATGTTTATCAACTTCTATAGTATTCAGTTTATAATATCTATTGAAATATTTCTTTTGTGAAGTGTGACTAGTAAAGTTTTCTTTATACTCAGAACATTTAAATGACTTGGAAGGTGAAGGTTGTTTAGGTAAAAATTGTTTATCCTTTGATTTATACTATTTCTTGTCTTCTTGGTATTTTTTTTTTTTTGGATAACTTTTCTTTTCTTTTTAGAGGAACCCAGGTCAAGTGAAAAAAAGAAAACTTGTTGTTTAGAGTTACTAAAGTAGACAGAAAAAACCTTGTCTATCTATTTGGCAAAGAGCTTCTTTACTTGATCCAGCTATTTTGCAAGTCCAGAGTATTTGAATATAATATTATAGGAAAAGTTTATCTCTACAGAAAAATTTACTATATTGTATTTGGTCTTTAAAACTATATTTTCTTGTTATTTACTTTTTTCCTTAGAAAAATTTCTTTATAAGAAAATATTTAAGAAAAAAGAGGATTACAAAAAAGAGTTTTTTTTTTAAAAGGTTTAGGCTTAGTATATAGTAAAATATTAAAAAAAAATAGAATAAATAAAAACATATCATAATCAGGAAATCAAAATTCAAAAATTCAATATAGAAAACAAAGTTTTATTATATAAATCAACAAAATCAAAAATATATGGAAATAAATTTAGGAAAAAATAGATAAAACCATATTATATTCATATCATTATCACACTAAAAGTATACAAATTAAAAAGTATAGAAAACAAAGTACTCAAAAAGGCAGTAAATATCAATTAATTAAAAAGATATTATAAATGACTAATTTAGAAGTCAAGCATTATTATATAATTATAGAACATTATTATTATTATTATTATTTTAAATTCTCTATCAGACAAGATACTATATGTATGCTTTATTAAATATATGTAGATTTCTATCTAACTTACTTGTTTCTATTTTAAGAATTATTAAAAACTCCAACTTCAAAAGTGATTAATTATTTCATTAGTAGTTTAGGTAAAGACTTTCCAACTGTTAACTTCATTGCCTGCAGATCACTTTGTGAAATTCTGACAAAGCCTAAAAATCAATTATTTTATTTTATACTTTACTTGTTTTTTTAAAATTTCTCAAAAATTTTTGTCTTCAAGATTTTTTTCTTCAAGTAGTAGTTCTTTTCTCTTCGAGAGTATAGTTTTCTAACCTGGATGACATGAAAGTTTGGTTGTTTTGTTCTTTTTATTAATCCCTTGTGTTTGTTTCCATTAAATTATCTTTTCATATTTCTTGTTCTAGACTTTCTTTCAGACTTGATTACAAACTTTTTTTTTGCATCTTTATTATCCACTTTCGGCTATTTTTTTCTATACATTTACCTTGGCATTTTAGATCTGCTATTTCTAGAATGAGATTATTTTTTATAAGGCGCAAAATTTAATGTTTTGACTAGTTTTAGAAGTCTGTTTCACTACTCTAGAGATCCACTTACGATATGCCAATTAATTAACCCGTAATTCATCTCAAAATTTTCACGTGTTCATATTAGATTATCGATAATAAAAAAAAAACGAACCTCCACTATTCTGGCTTTGTAGTAGCTCACATGTTTTCAAAACGAACATTCTTAGAACGTTTGGGTTCAGCAAGACCGTTACTAAATCAGAATGCAATTCATAAGTTTGTAAATATGTCGATAGGCCGAAATAATTTTTCTCGATGCTACATTCTGACCATAAACTCTCATGAGAAAAAACATGTAAATGAAGGTTGGTTTTCTACACAACGTAAAATTTTAATTCATTTATACAGAAACTTGTTCTACTCTTTGGTAATTTCTTTAGTTAATCTAATTGCGATACCTTGTGAATTTGACCTGACCGTTCAAAGGAAACATTTCCATACATTAGGAAGCTGCCTTGGTAAGTACAAGTTTGATTTTCTCAAATAAATAGTTGACCTGTTGTTTTGGAATATTGATGAGGTTCTCCTTTATAGCCCAGGTCCAGAAAACTCGAAAGAGTACTGACAAAGAGGAGGAGATAGTTGTAACTGAAATGGTGAGGGATTCTGTCGAAACTGTAAGTGAAGATGCTCTAGGCCTAGAAGATGAACTATTTCCGACCGCCGTTCTACCTGAAATTGAATTTAAGAAATCTTCCGGAATCACATCGGAATTCGAAGCCATTTATTCTGAGATAAAAGAGAAAACCGATTGGAGACTGCCAAAACACGTAAATCCACGTCATGGTCGTCTCACCAATTTAATATTCAAGACGACCACTCGTGAAGAAGCTAAAATACTTGTAGAAGTTTTTGCCCAGTGGCGTAGGAGGCTGTTACCAATAACTTCAATAAACACACGATTCCTGATAAAGAAATTGGTGGCGCCTGAGATTGATTCATATGATTTAGCTTTAGAGATGATTGCGGATCGATCAAAATACGCGTTGAAACCGAACCGAGAGATGTTTCGATATATTATGTTATCAATTGCCAACAACATAATATCAGCAAGTGAGGAAGATGCGTCAAAAATCGAGGAAGAAAAAGAAGCAAATACAGATAGCATACCAAGTAGTAGTGAAATGGCATTGGATGATCTTTACAAAACTTTTGGGTTGATACCATATTATGAGTTATCGCAGTATGATGCACACCTTTATACAATTTTAATATCGGCATCACTGAAGTTAAACACAAAAGTAGGTTGGAGAAGAGCTGACGAGACATGCGTAGAATTTATAAAATTAATTGATGTATTAGACAAAAGTTCGATGGAGCTTAATACAGTTTCACATAAAGAGCTTGTAAATGGCAATTTTGGAACAAAATGGTTGGAGGAGTCTAGTGCAAATAAAGACATTGCAGAGCTACTGGAAAAAGAAAAATTTGATGAATATACTAATTCAGTCAAAATTTCAAGACTATTGACAAGCATAGAGGTAGCTGTCATCATGGAGAAGTGGTATCAGGAAAGAAAGAATACGGAAATTTCCGGAAAGTTTAATGAGTTAAAAGGCAGATGGGAAAACGAAATAATAAAGATAGACGAACAAATAAAAAAACAAAGTTAGCTTAGACTTAACTATCAGCCTTTGACAATTGTTATCATATGATGAAATCTAGTTTCGAATAAACACTATGTTAATTGCTTTATGTGCTTACAGAAAAACAATAAATGTCCTATGCGTGCACGTTTAAATGAGACCAGAGTATATATGGTATCACCATCAAGTTTGTGATCACGTGAATGGTATATAACTGCGTGCGTGAAGTTTCATAACTACGTGCCGAACAAGAATTCATAATGTCTTCTTCTAAAGCTAAAAAACTTACTGACCAAGGTACTTGTAAAAATACTCCAGTTATACGTGATATTTCGTCTAATCCACTGAACGGTCTGCAACCAAACAGAAATAACATTGCAATTCAATAACATGAAGAGCGATTTGCAAACGTTAGCTCAGAAAATCGGTGAATTAGAGTCTGAAGTCGAAGAACACAAGTTTAGTAATTTTCATTTTAATCATAACCTTTATTTCTATTTAAATTAACGTGAGAATTATTTATAATTCGAGATTTACACTAACATATTGTTTCGTTTATTACCCATTGACCTGTTTCCAACTCACTTGGGAAAAGAGCGGTGATTGACACAATATCTCCTTTGAATGAAGATCGAAAATGCTTTCGTCTTATAGGTGGTGTGTTGGTAGAACGCACTGTGAGGGATGTGCTGCCTGCGTTGAAAACGAATTATGAAGGAGTAAGTGTTACTTCAACATTTGTAATTCTATCATTCATTATTAACTTGTAGATGTTAAAACAATCACGATCTGCATTTTTCTTTAAAGATTAAAAAACTTATAGATCAATACGTTCAGAATTACAAAACCAAGGAAGAAGAATTTATTGCTTTTCAAAAAGAACATAATATTCGTATAATCTCGCGGTCTTAATTTTTCGCTTGGTATTGATAGAATTATCGGTGTTATTTTATTATTTACAGATGAAAATTTCTCTGAATGTTTTAATACAGAAACAATTTATTTTTCGCCTGATGGTCGATGGCTCTAAAGAAGCATATGAAGTTTGTTAGATATTAAAATCTGTATATAATGTATGGTTTAAAATTCAAAAATCTGCAATAATACAAAATATATAACTTGTTAAACTATTATAGAATAAAAATTACTAAAATATACAGTATATACAGTATTCTAAAAGATAAAAATTTAACTTATATTTTTATCTAAAATTAATAAATTTATATTTTTGAAAAAAATTTTTTTTTTGCAAGTTTTATATATTAAGAGTTTAACTCTATTATTTTAATTTTAATTTTTTTTATTATTTAATTGAACAAGTTATTTTTAAACAAACTCTTATTGACCACTTCATGTGTCTGAATACATTTCTTCGATCCCATATGAACCTGAGATCCACTATAAGTTATTGGGTTGATATGAATAAATACAAAATACTTTTCTGTTCATATTATTGGTTTCTTCAAGAAAGAGTCTATCTAAAGATTACAAGATGTTATAACTGGATTTTATAGCCATAGTTGTCTACTTCTAGTTATTGAATAGGTTTCTTCTCCAGTTCTGTCAAATAGAAAAAAATTTGAAATAACAAGTTTTCATGGTAAAGTAAGATTTATATAATAGATAATGTATAAATGATTAAATTTTTTCTTTTGAAATAATATATCATATCTAAACATATGTATCAAAAAAATCTAGGAGAATCAATAAATCTTCTTTTCTAATATATAAATGAAATTGATTCAAGTAATTCTTCTTAACAATAAGCTATCTGACAAATTAAAATAATTAGAATTTTACAATATGGTGATACTAAAAGTAACTGAGGAATAGACAATATATCCTTAATTAAAGAAACCCTCAAAAAGTAATTAACCTATAATATTAAAGTAATAGTAGTAATATAAAATTCTAATAACTCACAAATAATTTTAGGAATATTTATTGATTATTATTTCTTATATTTGTATTATATCCTAACTTAAAAATTTAATAAACAAGGTTGAGTAGCCATTTCAAAAAAAAAAAAAAAGAATTTCTTATATAATATAACTAATTAATAATAATAATTATTATTATATAAGTAAATAAACAAATAAATAATAATGTATTAATACTAAAAAAAAAAAGAAAAATATTAATATATTTTTATTTTTATTTTTATTTTTTTTTTTTTTTGAGTATCTGTAATCAAGCTAGATTGTTAGTTTATTAATCAATTGAAAACATAAGTATATTTTTATTCGAGCAATATAATATATACTACAACTAAATTATTATTCTAATCTAATTAATTCATTATAAACATAAAAGCTACTAAGTTCAGCTTTGAGATAATATTTTGCTCTATAAAGTCTTTGGATAAAAACCTTTCTAGTTCACTACATCATTACTAGCAGGTTGTCACTATCATATATTACACTAAGCTCCTGAAATATAGAAAACTACAAAAGGATAGATTAAAAAAAAAAAAAAGTGAATATTTAAAAATGTTTAAATAGATAATAAGAAAATAAAAAAGTAAAAATTGAAAAAAAAATATTTTTATTTTTCTTCAAAGACCTACTTTTCAAGATTTCTTCTCAATAAGAAATATTTGATTGAGATATTCTTTCTTTTCCTGATCATCTAAGAAACTTAATATTAATTTCCTTCTTATGTACTATTTGAGAAGATTTATCACTTAGTGGAAGCCTTTATTTTCAGGATACATTTGGTTTCAATCTTCTTTGAACAGTGATTTTTTATTCATCTGTGATAGAGAGGTAACTTATAATGAACTCCAGGTTTTTATATAACCTAATAAGAATTAAATAATATTGTTTCAATATGATACCTTCCAATAGCCACACCTAATTAAAGAAATTTTACTAGTATATATTTTCTATTATTCAAAAGACCAAATTTTCCAATAATCCTTTTGCTTTGTAATAGTAAAAGAATTTCAAAAGTAATGGAAATTCTCATCGATTGTAATATTCTTTAATAACTTTTGGAAAAATGTATTCTTAACTGTAACCAAAGGATTGAAGCTTAGTATGAATTAGAGACCATTTAGTTTTATTGCCTGATTATGATAAAAAAGAGACTTTGGTCTTGAACTTTGCCTAACTGAGATGATAAAAGAGAAATATCTTAGCTTGAACCAATAGCAGCTTTTTCATTACTTAGAAACTTGTTGCTCATATCTTATTGATCTCATGAAACTTGATCTATAAGTTAACCCAATTGAAGAAGTGAAGTGAATACAAGGTATCAATTAACTTTTTCAATCATTAATGATATTATCAGAATATGTGAAATGATCAGTAAGGGCTTGTTTATATTCAGTTACTAATATGGTTTATATTAATTAATCAAATGTCAGATAATAATGTGCTATCAGAAATTCAGAGTCAAATTGAAGTAAACAAAATCTTCCAAGAAAATCATGAAAAATAATAGACACTTTAAGAGAATAATAATATATTTTTATCTAAAATATTATAATAATTTAATAATAATAAAATAAAATATTTTTTTGTAATATGTAATAATAATGAAGTATAGATTGATACAAGTTATAAAAAAAAGAAAAACTTATATTATAAATATAGTTAAACTATTAAATAAATATAATTAGTAAAGAAAACTCCGAGTAACTTAAACTATCTATAATACAATTTATATTTAGAAAATTATTTTTAATTCTAAACCAAGTTCAATTAAATATTTTATTATAGTTAATATTATTGCTTAAATTTAAATATAAATTAAATTATTTTACTTAAAGCTATAGTATTTATATAATATATTTTTTATTTATGGATTCAAAGATCAAAAAAAAAAAATAAAATAAAATTTTAACTTTATTTTTAAAAAATATATATATTTATATAATAAAATAGAAGAAGTAAATATAATATATATATTATATTACTAAAATAATTAGTAAAAATAACAATTCCAAATTTTAGAAAATTTCTGTTTATAGTAATTTTCTAAAGAAAAAATCTTATAAGAAACAACCTCAAAAAGAGATAATAACAACAACTTCCTTTCATATAATATACACTTGACTCCTGACAAGAAGAAAAGGGTAATACTAGTTAGCAGCAACATCCTTACACCCTTGTTTTGCTTAAGAATGAAGAGAAAGTAAAGACAAACTAATTCACAGTAGACTTTTTAAGACCCAACATCAACTTTATAAAGCTCTTAGCCACACCAGTACAGGTTAATACCTTTCTAGATACTAAGAGAGATTTTAGAAGCAATAATCCAAACTGATAAATCAGTTTAAAGTCAGAGCTCAAAAACCTAGAAATACATTCAGATCTCTTAAATCAAACAGTAAAGATTAGTAGTAAACAATCACAACAACTGATCTATCAACTTATGTCATGCAAATATGAATACATAAAAGTGAATATAGTTTAGCCATAACAAACCAACACCCCAAAACACATCAACATATCACAAATAAGTAATACATATCAATCTAATCATATTACAAGTAATAAACAAGTAATATATATGTAGATAAATAGAATCAACATATAAAATAAAAACATATGGAAAAACAATATATTAACACAGATCATTTGATTATATAATCCAATATAGTACTTTATTTATCCTATTTATAAATTATTATGAAGAAAAATAACAAAACATCAAAACAACCTAATATATGTAATAGTTATCCATTTCACAAGACAACATGACTCAAAAAGAGTAAAACATTATTAAAATTTTGAAAAAATGTAAGAAAGAAATTTTTAAAGTATTAGGGAATGTTGTCATCAGAAATGATTTCCAATAAGAACTATAGAAAACAAAAATACTTCAATATAAACTAAGGCACAAGACAGAAGACCAACTATATATTCCAGTAGAAGCAATCCATGCAACCTCAATATTAGATAACATTTTAGCTACTCTATTAAATATAGATTTTGGAACCTTAGCAAAAAGAACAGATATTAAAAAAATATATTATTACTCTGTAAGAAAAGGAACAAGGCAAGAAACAAGATCCTGAAGCT